TTTCAGATGGCACTTAGAGGCTTTTGCATCTGAACTCTTCATATATATATATATATATATATATATATATATATATATATATATAAACAATGTAGTTTTCACAGTACAAACATTACCTCGATTTATGTAACTCCGTAGGAACTTACATTGCACTTGCATCTCTCTCTCTGTATTTTAGGAGTGGGTCCCCTGGTAAGGGGCTAATCCAGGGGTGCCCACACTCGGCCCTGGAGGGCCGGTGTCCTGAAGAGTTTAGCTCCAACCCTAATCAAACACACCTGAAGCAGCTAATCAAGCTCTTACTAGGCATACTAGAAACTTCCAGGCAGGTGTGTTGAGGCAAGCTGGAGCTAAACCCTGCAGGACACCGGCCCTCCAGGACCGAGTTTGGGCACCTCTGGGCTAATCCTATTTGGGGGTCCAGAAAAGTTTGAAAAACCCCTTATATAACAACTTAAAACTAGATTATATGAATTGATACTCACTATAAGCAATGGCACTAAATAAACTACATCGTTTACGTTAAAAAAAATTCACTACCCTGGGTTGAAAAAGATTTTATGTGACTCTAATGTCGCACGACACACAAAACCTAGGCTTAAATACGTCACACAAACCTATATAATATAAGTTTGATGACTGCACACTTTTATTGTCATTAAAATAATGTAGAAGTAGCTTACATGGGTGGCGTATTTGAAACACTGCAATGCCAATAGAAAGCTCTGACCAGAGTTCACAAAACACCTCCCGCGCGACATGGCTAGCCCATCAGGTTGATCCAAAACAGAAACAAAAGCTTAATTTCGCTCGATTCGAATGACCAAGCCATCCTTCGTTTGCTGTTCTAAGACGGACAGCGTGTTGTTTCGAGCCGCGATGGCTTTACCCGCCTCTTCGCGCCACAGAGGAGCTCCGCTGCCATGATAGCAGAGAAGCTGCAACACGAACAGCAACATAACACTGCGCGACACTCTGTATCCAACAGAACAGCTGAAACAACCTGCTCACGAGTCTCAACGAACGAAATGCACAAGGAAAAACACAGCATCCCAGGCACCGTTTTCACAAATAAGGGAGGAGGATGATATACAGGCCTGCGACAAAGCGCTTGTTTCGCTCTTAGACAAAAACTCTTACTTTCCAGTGAATATGAACTACTGTAAGACTATCTGGTGCCCCCCTTTAGATGAAATAAAGATGTGTATATCTATATAAATGTACCCCATTACGGCCCACATTATGTGGTGGCTACAACAATACTGATGAGCACAACTGTGCGCAAAAAAAATATGTAATCTGAACTTCTGGGGATGACTGTAAACCATTATTTGGTTTTTATAATATATTGTTCGCAGCGGGATTATTTCACCCGCTTCACATGTGGAGACCCGCCATGCGAAATGTAAGAGACCTAGCTAGTCCCGACTATTGTTTCACTCATCCCATTCCTTTTCTAACTCTAAACCAGTGCATTGCAGTGTCTGTGTGACATATAGGAAGCTCTTACCGCTGCTGTGTTGAATGGGGGATAGATTTAGAGCGCGCGTTCTGGCTCTTCCTCTCGCTCAGCATCGAGTGCTCGTGCGATCCGCCTCTCACCATTGCGAGGCGTTCAAGTGACGTCGCTCACTGCAAAAAGCACGTTTGTCCGACATTGAAGCATACGCGTACGCCCCTTACGTACTGTGCTTACCGTCAAGATAGCTTGAGGAATAGGCCTAGACGAGCAAATATACAGATGAGTTGCATAATGAATGCACATTTTATAAAATGTAAATATTTATGATATTTTTTCCACACACACACACACACACACATGTCTGGTCAGCTATCCTTGTGGGGACTCTCTCCATAGGCGTAATGGTTTTTCTACTGTACAGACCGTATATTCTATTGCCCTACACCAACCCTACCCCTAAACCTACCCCTTACAGGAGACTTTCTGCATTTTTTTTTTTTCAAAAAAATTCATTCTGTACGATTTATAAGCTTTTGTACCACAATTTAGGTCCCCACCGTGACACGAGTCCCCATGAGTCTGTGTGTAGTCAGGTTTAAGTCCCAACTAGGATATATAAACCAGTACACACACACACAGGGCCGGATTTACCTCTTATAGTGACATAGGCAAAACAATTTTTGCCCCCCCCCCCTTCTTTATTAATAGGCCTACATAATATTACCACCCCAGCAAACAAAATATTTCGTAATCAGTGGAAACCTTTACAGTGTTTTCTATCGCAATAAAGCGCTTGCATTCAGTCGATAAAAATCAAATGTCTTAATTAGTTTGAGAATGGAGAAAGACCCTTCCATTAGGCTCCAGCGTCGTGACCACTTCGGGAGTGCATTATTTCTCTAATAATTGTAATGGCCTGGTGTCACAACTACACCTCAAGATATTGTTTAGATATTTCAAGATAAACCTTCCGTTGCGAATTCCAAAACGTCATTTTAGAGCTAATAACAGAGGTACATAAAATTTTTACATTTTACATAAAAAAGGTGGAAAACATGGAAATAGTTTGTAATTTTTTACCCTATTGTTTGTTATATTTACTTGCTCAATGTCTTCTGGTGTTTTGGTTCTTTTACTGTTGTAGATAGCCCATATACCAAAAAATATTATATATCTCTTCATTGTGTTTGGGCCTCCCCTGGACGAGTGAACATAGGCATGTGCCTAGAATGCCTATGCGTAAATCCGGCCCTACACACACACACACACACACACACACACACAGAGAGAGAGAGGGAGAGAGAGAAATGTGCAACATACAATTTATACTTTTATATTTAACATATCCTGCTCATTTCTTATTCACGTTCTTCTGCATAACCACATCTAAATATATATATTTTTTTAATATTAATATTATTATTATTTTTTACATTTTGTATATATTGTATAGTCTGTTTCTCTCTCTCTGTGTGTGTGTATGTGTGTGTGTACTGGAAGCTTCACCAAGACAAATTCTTCATTCTGATTGTAAATGATAACGATAATTACATTAGGATTCAATTTGGCTGTCACAATGCATTTATTGTTTATCAGCTGGAAAAAAACTCGTTTTGAAAGTGATTCCAACAAAATCGTTACTCTCTGTTGTTATCGTTATAGCTGTGGAGTAGCCTTCTCTAGAATTATAACGATTAGGCTAATTAAACTTTATAGTTATCATTATGGTTATCCTCCTTGGTGTGAACAGGCCTTAAAACATGTATAGAACTTTTGAGATTAAAATGTCGTACACTCACATGAAATATACCTATCAGTGTTCTAGACAAAATATTTTACATGGAGCGGGCCACTCCTTCATGGATGCAGCCATGTTGATTACATGACCAGATGTGCCATGCAACTGACTACTACTAATAGTGTTTGCTTTATATAGCACTTTCAGACAGTGCACAAGGTGGCATAAACATAAAAGTACAACTAAATGGAACAAGCAAACCCAACAATATAACAATAAACAGAATAGACTACAGACACAACATAACAACAAGGTGAAATTGTGTGATCCATGAGTACAAACAGAATGGGCACGAGTGGAAAAACAAGAATGACTTACCTAAATTACAAAGCGTGTGTTTTTGGATGCTTATATTAATGAATTAAAAATAGTAGTCAGGGGTCAGCCTGTGCTGTTTGCAACAAGGGCCCTGGTGTTTAGCTTACTTTTGATTGATGTTACATTTGTATTGTGTCTATTGTGAAATGTATGTTGTACTGTCGTTTGTGAGAACCGCATATTGAAACAAGACACTTAAACAACATTTCCCTAAGTTCCCTAAATAAAGTTACTACTGCTACTACTACTACTACTTTAGTCTTCGGGGGCCTCTGAGCACTGGCCTGGTCCATAATCCAGCTTTGCTTTCAGTGGTTTTGTTGCCTCAATTCATTTTCATTTATTAGTTCGATTTCTGTTCAGGGCGTGCGCTCCATTTCGTGTTCTGATTGGTCGGCGTTTGCGTCAATTAAAAAAGGGTGGGCGTTCAAATCTCTCTTTAACTTCCCTGATAAAGTAAAAAGCTTGAAGTGTACGAGTAACAAACCACTCCTAAATTAATCGCAGTTACTAACACAAGAATTATCTCCTTTTGGGGAGATTAAATAGTATGTTCGACATAGTTTGAACTGGATTAATAGCTCTATATTTAGCCGTTCACACGTCGATTTAGCTTACTTTTCTCCTCATCGCGTGTGGATTTTAAAGTGGACTTCTGGTGAATGCGGTGAGTGTCTCTGCCTTCCTTCCACCTCCAGCTAACTCATCCCCTTAGCCTGACATGTTGCCTGTCATTTTTTCCTCTCTAGATCGCACTTCAAATACACATTTTAGCTGGGGTTTGTTGATTTATTGTTCGATGGATCATATGTTTTTCTCTGTTAAGGATAAAAGATCAGTTTAGAATACACGCAACTTGATCAACTGTCAAAAAATGTCGTTGAAAGGTTCAGCTCTGACTGCGTGTCAAACTGAAACTTTAGGCGGACCCGTATGACTAAAATCCACTCTGATGGAAACAAGTTACAAAGTAAGTTATCTAAGGGGTTAGTTTCCTGGTTTGAGTTAATCTTCTAGCTCGTTTGGCCATGATGTTCATGCCTGACAGAAGTCAGTTAGCCAACATGCTAACTTACATGGCTACACGTCCAGCCAGCTGAAAGATTAAAAAAGTGGATTTCATTTCTTCCCAGTTGTGTTTGTTCTTATGGGTTCATGTTAAGACCGTATAGGGTGACACACTACCCCAAAAAAGTGACTGTGATGAGTAATATTGAGTTCCTGAGAAGTGTTGATCGATAAGTGCTGGGTGGAGGTTAGCTTAGCTCATCGGGATATTAGCTGTTTTTCAATTTGAATAAATTGCCTAGTTGCTCATCGTTTAGTAACGTAATCTTAACCTATTTTGTGCCATGCTTTCACATCTGCCTCTTCTATCTCTATCTGTACTTGTCAGTGTTGCGCAAGTTTAGAAGGTGTTTCATAACATGCTTGGGTTATTAATAAAAAACAAACAAATTGTCATAAGGAATGAAGTCTGTTAGTATTGTTAGTGTAGTGCACTTTAATACAAAAGACATGATGTTTTCAGTATGTCGAAGTACCCTTGACAGAAGTGTTTTTGTTCTTTATACAGTTGTATTGCTAGCAGTAATAACAGTACAAGCGGTTTTCATTGTGTTTAGCAACTATGAAGAGTATAAAATTTGTTCTGAATAATGTTGGCTGCTTTGAAAAAGCCTGTTTTGTCCTTTTGTCAATTATAATGACTTGCTGTTTTGAGTTTATTCTTTACTTGCTGTTATAAGGTTTTGAACTATTTGTTTTTTACCTTTTCATTTAAAGGTGAATCATTTCTGTTGTCCTTCGTCCAACACATCCTGGCTAAAACAATGCCATTCCCTTTTGGGAAGTCTCAGAAGAGCCCTGCAGAGATTGTGAAGAGTCTGAAGGAGAATGTGGCATACTTGGAGAAGCTGGAGTCATCTGAAAGCAAGAAATGGGAAAAGGTTGGTCCTTTTATGTCAACATCTCAATGCAAATGTTTTAGCAAACTGTGGACTGTGACGGAGTCAGAAAAACTCACTGTTTCTCCTGTAGGTTGCAGAGGAAGTATCAAAAAATCTTGCGTCGTTGAAAGAGGTGCTGTGTGGCACTGGAGACAAGGAGCCTCAGACTGAGGCAGTGGCTCAACTGGCTCAGGAGCTCTACAACACCAACCTCCTCATTTCCCTCATAGCAAACCTACAGAGGATTGATTTTGAGGTGCATATCATTGCTTTTGAAATGTTTGAAATACAACTATGTCCGTCTTGCTGTAAGGTATATTGCTCTGTGCACTAACCACACATTTGTTGTTCACTCCCTTTGATTTATAACACGTTGTTCACCAAAGGGAAAGAAGGATGTGGTGCATCTGTTTAGCAACATTGTGCGTCGCCAGATTGGCGCTCGCACCCCAACTGTGGAGTACATCTCTTCCCACTCACAGATCCTCTTTATGCTGCTGAAGGGGTGAGTTTCCAGACCCCAGGGCATAGCCATAGATCAACACTTTCAGAAGCCATTGATTAGCCTGGCTTTTCCAATTGATGTTATGGGAGACTGTGGTTGGATGGTTATTTTAGGACCATCATTTTTCCATTTCCTGTCCACGTGGCTAAGCTGCCAATGGAGTTTAGCTTTTACAGCACAAACATTTCAAGTTATTGACACTTTGGTTTGATATTATGTTTGAATAATGACTTTCAATTTTTTATATATATATATATATATATATATACATACACACACAAACAAATGTGGTTCTTCCACGTTATAGAAATAACCAGGCTTATTTATTTATCTTTTGAACGCAGCTATGAAACCCCAGAAGTGGCCCTTAACTGTGGCTTGATGTTGAGGGAATGTCTGCGTCATGAACCTCTGGCCCGAATCGTTCTGTTCTCTGAGGAGTTCTACTGCTTCTTTCGCTATGTGGAGCTATCTACATTTGACATTGCCTCTGATGCTTTCGCCTCTTTTAAGGTATGATATTTACGCAAAGTATCATCCATTTTGTAAGTTTTGCCTTGCAAACATTGTCTTAGGAACATGAAAATGGGCCACAATACACTAATAAATTGATAGCAAAACATTTTATATTTCATCACCTGAGCTATTTATGCAGTGATGTCATAAGAGTGTTTAAGGTTATTTATTTATTTTAGAATTAAATGAAACCATAAAAAAAAATAACACGTAGGTATGTACAACAAACTATGAAGAGGAAAGGAAAAATCCCACACTGTCATACTTTGCAGAAAAAAACGTTATTTACTACAATGTTTTGGCCATATGACAAGCCACAATAGTATTTTCTTTTTCTTTTTTATTTTTTTTATATACGAGTGTTAGTTGATGACCCATTTCCAATTGTCCATCCATTGAACATCTGAGTTCTACATTTTCAAGCCTCAAAAGTACATAAAGAAATAATAAAAGTAATCCATATGAATCAAAAGTTTTAATCCAAGTCTTCTGAAAAAACCAATCACTTTATATTTTGATTACATTTTATTCATATATAAACATTGATCAACATGCATAGATATAGAACACATCAAATATAACACAAGGAAGCTCAAAGGTGTGTGCTTGATGCACAAGAACAAATGAGGCAGAATTTGTATAACAGAATGACAGAATTAAAATTTTTGGTTGACCATCACTTTAAATCAAAGAATCGAAAACCTTTCAAAAGAGAAAATGACAAAAGTCTTTGTTTTTAGGATCTGCTGACAAGACACAAGATCATGTGTGCAGATTTCTTGGAGTCAAATTACGACAGAGTGAGTTACTCTTGTATCCCAAAATTTAATGTGCAAGTGCTTTTAAATGTGGTTTTTTTTTGTTAGTTTTTTTTTTTTCTCTCTTTTTCTGGCTGCTGTACTTCATGGACAAAAAGTATTATGATTAATCATTTCATAACTGTTTTTAGCTGTTCACAGAGTATGAAAGGCTGCTGCATTCGGACAATTATGTCACCAAGCGCCAGTCTCTGAAGGTGAGCATAAACCACGGTTTTCACAGAGGTGTTTTCAATAATTCAAGGCTGTAATGGTATTCAAACCCTTGAGGTGGAGATTAAGCTGCTAGGATCTATACATGAAAGACAGATAGTCGAAGAAAATAAGTTATCAAGTCCTTTTCTCAGAAAGACGCTTCTTTGTAACTTGAATAGCCACATACTTTTTCTTCACATAGGAATGTTTTATGACAAACCTTGCTTTGTTTAATAAAATGGCAATATGTTGGGCGGTTTGGCTTTATTCTTACCACGTAGTTTTGCTGTTGTTCTTAAGTGAGTTTGACTATCAAATGATATCCAGCTCTTAGGAGAACTATTACTGGACAGACACAACTTCACAGTCATGACCAAATACATCAGTCGAGCTGAGAACCTAAAGCTGATGATGAACATGTTGAGAGACAACAGCCGTAACATCCAATTTGAAGCCTTCCATGTCTTTAAGGTATGTGTTTATATGCACAGCATTTCAAGTAACTTAATATATTTGGATTTGGCACTTCGCTTGTCTGTCTTTCCCTCTGTCTACTCCAATTACTTTCCACACTTGGCAGCTGACCGGTCTTCTGTCCCAGTTTTGCCCTGACTTACTGAATGTAAACCGGTCAGGGTCAGTTACTAGTGTGTGTGTGCTGTAGTTCAGACTGCATGAAGGTAGATTCAGTGACTTGGACCGTTTCTTGTGTCCTTTCAGGTGTTTGTTATGTCACCAAGCGCCAGTCTCTGAAGGTGAGCATAAACCACGGTTTTCACAGAGGTGTTTTCAATAATTCAAGGCTGTAATGGTATTCAAACCCTTGAGGTGGAGATTAAGCTGCTAGGATCTATACATGAAAGACAGATAGTCGAAGAAAATAAGTTATCAAGTCCTTTTCTCAGAAAGACGCTTCTTTGTAACTTGAATAGCCACATACTTTTTCTTCACATAGGAATGTTTTATGACAAACCTTGCTTTGTTTAATAAAATGGCAATATGTTGGGAGGTTTGGCTTTATTCTTACCACGTAGTTTTGCTGTTGTTCTTAAGTGAGTTTGACTATCAAATGATATCCAGCTCTTAGGAGAACTATTACTGGACAGACACAACTTCACAGTCATGACCAAATACATCAGTCGAGCTGAGAACCTAAAGCTGATGATGAACATGCTGAGAGACAACAGCCGTAACATCCAATTTGAAGCCTTCCATGTCTTTAAGGTATGTGTTTATATGCACAGCATTTCAAGTAACTTAATATATTTGGATTTGGCACTTCGCTTGTCTGTCTTTCCCTCTGTCTACTCCAATTACTTTCCACACTCGGCAGCTGACCGGTCTTCTGTCCCAGTTTTGCCCTGACTTACTGAATGTAAACCGGTCAGGGTCAGTTACTAGTGTGTGTGTGCTGTAGTTCAGACTGCATGAAGGTAGATTCAGTGACTTGGACCGTTTCTTGTGTCCTTTCAGGTGTTTGTGGCTAACCCCAGTAAGACCCAGCCGGTGCTGGACATCCTCCTCAAGAATCAGTCCAAGCTGGTGGAATTCCTGAACCACTTTCAAATGGACCGTTCTGAAGACGAGCAGTTCTGTGATGAGAAGAACTATCTCATTAAGCAGATACGGGACCTCAAACGGCCTGCACCTGCAGAGGAGTCCTAATGGGAAAACGTGGAGTGTAGAACCAGGGAGCTTGGCTAGTGAAGTAGTTTGATTTATGTGGGTGAGAATTGGATGGTAGGGAAAAAAGTCTAAGAAAAAAAGGCTGGCATCACTCGGAATAAATCTCTTTACATCCAACTTCTGAAACGGGTAGAGAAATGCTGTCAGGATGTGCAAACACCTGTCTGTCCCTTTACTTGGGGGCGAGCAGGTTCATGCTGCAGGAGGTGCAAGTGGAACCCAAGCACTCTATTTAAACCTGTATACATTTTTAGCACTGCCCCTAAAAAAGAAGTATAGTTGATTTACCTTTAGACGGTAAATCTTAAATTGAAAAATGTATCCAAATTCATCAGAATGAAAAGTATATTGAAAGCCTAATCAAGCCTTTTTAATATATTTAAAAGAAAGTATTAGTATATTGGTACAGGTATGGCTCTGCATATTTGCACTAAATCTGGTAGCTTTGCTCCAGGTAGGCCATTAGTGCCAGTTCATAAACCAAATATTAATGAACACTTTAAAAATTAAAACGATAGGTCACAAATACAGGACATTATGGGGCCTTCAACTGGACATTCTCACGTTTAAACTAGTTAAGGGACATTAAAGCATTTTTATATCCTGAAAATGTCATGTGGTCAAGTGAAATGTGATGGAAAAAGTAGCTCATAGAGTTAAGTGGTCATGTTAGATGCTGCACTTAATTTCCATTTTAACTGGGTGCCTTATTTAAGTAGCTTGGTCATTCTGGGTCTTCTATTACATTTATATTTATCTATAACATTGGATTTGTAGTATTCTGCTTTTGCTTGGGTTAACACCTTAGGAGAACTAGTTTTATTTAAACTATTAAAAAAACATATATAATGATTAAAAACAATACTCATTTAAAGTTTTTTTCAGTTTAGATGAACCATGCAATGAATTCAGGGTTCATAGATTTCAGTAATGGTGAACTATATGGTACACGATTACAGTGCAAGACATGATAACCTCCACACACACACTGTAACACTGAAAGATTGTGAAATGCTAAAGCTGGGGCACGTCATGACATTCCTTGAGCTGTGCTTTGATGGGCAGCTTAGACAAGCCAATTAAGCCTTTAAAAGATTGATGCAGTAGGAAAGACCATTTAACACAGTTCTTCGTGTCCTGCACTGTCAAACTTGAATGAGCCAAAGCTGTGGTAACACATGTTATATCTTAAGATAGACCCAGAATTTGGTTCTCCAGTGGATTGGTCCTTTCAGTAGCTACTGAAGGGTTCCAACATTAGTCTTTATATCTTAAGTTGAATATATTTTATGTACTCTGTTTGCACAAGTTCCTTTCTCATATACCTCATAGGTTTTAAATTCCTAAGTGCTGTTTTTTTCCCCCACTTCGTTTCAGTAGATATTATGGAAACACTTTACAGTAAGGTTAAATTCATTAACATTGGTAAATGCATTTGGTGTCATGAATTAGCATTTATTAATCTTGGTTAATGTTATATTCTACATTTCAGATTGCATAAATTAACAGTTTATGTATTACGAATGAACATGAATTAATAATGAACGATAGCATATTTATTAACAATTAATGTTAACTTGGATTAATAAAAAATTGTTTATGGTACCTAATGCATTAACTAATGTTAACAAATCAAACCTTAGTGTAAAGTGTTTCTTGTATTATTTTGGATGTGGGGCGGTAGTTTGAATTATGCAAGCTAAAATACGGCCTTACGACATGCCAAAGTTGTGGTCTTGCAATGCTGAATAGGACCTAGAAGGGAAATTATTTAATTTTTTCAGTTTGCTAATGGATACATAGAATGTCATGAGTGTGAGGAAAGCACACAGTTTGACACGCACAGTTTCACTCTAAACGGTTTTTAATGGATTCATCCAAATGTCAATGTGTGCTTTGACATCATTTCAGTCCGCTCATCACCAAATTTTATTTTTAGTTTTTTGAAACTATGACTTGTGCATGTGGAAATTTATTGTATTTAGGAAGTGAAGGGGGACAAAAACCTTCTGAGCTGCCTTTATTTGCTTTTATGAACTGCACCACATCTGCAATCACAAAGCCTTTGTGTTGAACGGTGGCCTAGACTGATTCATTTGCCTTTTTTCCCCAAAAGATCTACAGCTATCGTTAACTAAATATTTCTGCCGTTTCATTAAATGTCACTTGATGCCACATGTACAAGAATGGTGTTTGGCCAAATGTGATTCCACTGACAGGGTTTTAAAGGAGGTTTTTGTCCTTAAGCTCATTGAAGCTGAGCCTTCAGATTCTCCATGCAGCGATAGTGATCTTTGAAAAAGAGATTCAAAATAATATGTTAGATCTTTGGTAAGTTATTACGGTGGATTATATACACCTTTATTATTTGCATTTTGACTGATAATGTTAGCTATGCTTTCACTCATTTTCCCTTTCTGTTATATTTTCCACTGTGGGAGAGGATTATATATGTACATAAAGTTTTATTTTAAAAAGAAGAGTAAGTGTGGATGCATATTGAAAATAAAATTAACGATGGCACTTGTGTGCGGTAACGTTAATTTTGTCTTTATTTAAACAGGATTTAAATGGCTGCATTTTAATTCACATTTATATTGTAACTAATTATTGGCTGCTAAAGTGTCTGTGTAAGAGCTCGAGGGCTGTGCGATTCCGTGCATGACTCTCTCTCTGCGCACAGGTCAGCTCGGGTCTGCTCCACCTCCCTCTGAAGCCTCTGGAGCACAACCTTATTTATTGACGGGGAAGTCGTGGCCTAATGGTTAGAGAGTCGGACTCGTAACCCAGAGGTTGTGGGTTTGAGTCTCGTACCGGCAGGGATTGTAGGTGGGGGGAGTGAATGTACAGCACTCTCTCCCACCTTCAATACCATGACTGAGGTGCCCTTGAACAAGGCACTGAACCCCCAACTGCTCCCCAGGAGCCGCAGCAAAAAATGGCTGCCCACTGCTCTGGGTGTGTGTTCACGGTGTGTGTGTGTGTGTGCACTTTGGATGGGTTAAATGCAGAGCACTAATTCCTAGTGGCCACTTGGCCACGTCACTTCACTTTTCTATCTGAGCCACTTTTTCCAGTCTGTCTCCTTCAGATTTCCATTGCGCTTGCGCTCTTTCCAGTTCCCATGCGAGGTTGGGGCGCTCCTGTACGATCTGCTGCATGTCCTCTTTTGCTCGTCTTCTTCCATTTTCCCTGACCTGTATAGTCCGCTTATGTAACCGAGCGTTAATTTTTTGGCTCTCTGACTTCAGATCATTTATCATTGAAGGCCTGACGTGCAGCCCTTTTTTTTGGAAAGGCTTAACTGTTTCTCCAGCTTCTCCACCAGGCCTTGCAGCTTCATCCTTTCCTCATGTTCTGCTTTAAGTTGCTCCTCTGTACAAATGAGCTGTTGCTTTAGTCGCCATCTGTCCCTCTCTACTTCTTCAATACCAGCCCGCAGTTTGGTGATGTCCCTCTCGTTCCAAAATGCACCTCTGTCCCACAGTCTCGATCTGGTCAGTAGGATTTTCAGAGTTTGCTCCTTCATCTACAGGCTGCTCATGCCGAATCAATCTCTTGGCCAGGGCCTCCTTCTTGCACAGTCGCTCGGTCAAAACTTTCGGTTTCAAAGCTTTCAGGTAGATCTGCCTTCTGTGGCTCCTCTAGGGTTCGTGCAGGCTGGTGGAGTGGGTTGATGATGGTTTTGTTGAACTGTTGCATTGTTCGCTTGTGTCTGGTTTGGTTTTCCAGCAGGTTTTGGAAAGTGAAACGAGGAGGGAAGAGTTTCTCCACCCAGTGATGGTCATCTCTGGAGTTGGACTCGTGTTCAGCGTTTTGATCAGTGATTTCCATGGGCCTCATAACTAAACTGTTTTGAGTTCAATTAAAATGTCAGAAACTGTGTACTGTAGAAGGTCACTTAATTTTCATACCCATTTTCTTTCACCAGCTACAAGCAAACGCAGGATGCTTGGTCGTTTCAAACCGTTAGAGCGTTTTTTGAATGTCCGGCATTGATGAATCGTGCAAAATTGTTGGTTCATACTTACAACATCCGCGTCGTTGACTACGGTTTCTGTTCACAGTGTCCAGTGAGCACAACTTCCTGTTTTAATGTAGGAGAGCGCAACGAACACTTTACGCCCTCTGCCAGTGTTGCCAACTAATTTTCAGGGGAAGTTGCTAAAGGAAGGTCGATTTGTTGCTAAATGATGGTGTGATGTCATTACGTAATCACGACCCAAAATTGTGTCACTACATCAAATCTCAGCAAAAATATATTTTTTGTTAATTTAAATTTGTTCGTAAAATACTATAAATGCATAATATGTAAAAATATAAATAACTATTTTTATATACAACATTGAACGCTTTTGAACTATTTAATTTTTGAACGATTACAAGTTTTTATTAGCTAGTAAACTAGTAAACCTACACATTCTGAACAATTATAGTTTTAAGCAGTGTATTAGTAGTCAGTATGCTACACTCTAAGAAAATAAATCACAGGTTTTTACCTGCATTTTAAATTACGCATTGTATTTTGTGTTTTCAGGTTACTGGGTTACAACGGATAATTGATAATGGATAACAGATAATGTCCTGGAAAATTACTAGTACCTTTGCCATTTTTCTAGATATTTTTCTTAGTGTACTAACTGATCAACAATCACATGTACAAGCTACTAACAAGGTGTATCATAAATGAACTGTTATTAAATTATCATTGTTATTATCAAATAGCAATAACTTAATTCATGTGATGTATGTACTTCTAGGCATCTTTGGTTTCCTCTTTTTGGGAAAATGTGTAGTCACTTATCAAAAGTTGCTAAAAGTAGCCAAATAAAATGTGAAAATAGCTAAATTTGTTGCTAGGTGCTTTTGGAAGAAAAAGTTGCTAGGGTAGTCTGAAAAGTTGCTAAATTTAGCAACAAAATTGCTAAGTTGGCAACACTGCCCTCTGCTGGTTGCGTTTAAACGCTTGTTACGTGCAGTTATCTCTGCAAGTGCGTTGTTCATTTGCGTTACCTTCAGTACGAGCTTGCCTTGGAATTTGAAATGTGTACAATTATTTGTATATAAAATAGAGAAACTAAAGAGGGCTTATATTTATATATTTGCTCAAGTTTAAAGCTAACAATATTCTATCAAAATATAAATGTTCATTTAAATATGAAATATGATTAAATGTAATGTAACACCTGTTAAAAACGCATTGATACGCTCAAGAGTGATTTGTTAGAGGTCTAAAAGGTTTTGAATAATGTCTGGGATTTGTAGCTGTTTTATATTCAGAGGAAAACTGTGGTAGTGGGAGTAATATTAGACATAAAACACATTTCAGACATGAATTTTAATTTACAGCACTAATTCAAAAGATAATCTTCATCCATAAACAATTTGTTCTTAAACATACATGTTAATTATAGTATAAAATTGTATCGGGGTTTAATTACCTGTACTGTGATTTAGTTTAAAGCATTCGTAACCTAAAGAATATCTATTGTTTAGTTCACCATTTTCAAGCCAATGTTTCTAGTTCAATCTGTTAGTCAACAACTGTCTTAGCATAAGTAAATGCATACACCCTATTAGCTTTTTCATGCTTATCATTTTCTTTGTGCCTTTGGGAGAGAAAAAGTAGGTTAAAGTTCAAAAGGATGCTCGGAGATTTCCTCCTATTTAAAGAAGAGCGTGTTAACTTGCAGATCTTTATTCAAAATTGGGTTAGAAACATGTTATCGCTTCTAAATAGTATTTAGAATCAAAAAAAAGATTGGTTGATAATTGGTTTGCATCTACTTTTTAATAAGCATACTCCAAAATAAACACAAGATGAACTCGTGGATAAAATTATGCGGGAATGCT